AAAGAAAGAGTGTAGGTGAGTGCAGAAGACAAACCTGTCAGTTTCACAGCTGGTTTCTCTAGCTGCAGGGCTCAGGCCGGAGCAGGGTGACACTCAGCATCACAGCAGCACAGCACAGGGCCCGGGGTAAACACACCATCATATACTGTAGACACACACACACACACACACACACACACAAACACACACACACACACACAGCACGGCCTCACCCGTATGACCAAGAGACCAGTGAAACACACCACCTGGGAAAGTCATCATATCTTGTCAAAGATTTTTTTTTCCTTTTTGGCTCGATGGAGGTGTGAACAACATCACGGAGCAGATTGCCTGGCAATGGACTGACCATCATGTTGTAAGTAAGGGGTGGGGGGAGGTTGAGAGGAGCACAGAGTGAGAGAAATAACCAGAGTCTAACGTAAGACGAGACAGCTCGGCTGATTGAGTCGGCCTGTCTTGCTGCATCACGAGTCCAAGTTTCTCCGTCGTGACTATCGTGGTCACTCCTGACAGATTATTGGTGATAGAAGTTGACGCAGACTATTATCTGGACGGTCCCTTTCCTGCATCAAGGAGAGAGATGGTGTTCCCGTCCTTTGGTCTCATTTTGGGACTCGCTTCGTAGTGTGCTCCAGAGCGGAGTGGACTCTGTGGGGAAAAGAGCCTGGGGCATTGTACACACACACACACACACACACACCCCCACCCCACCCAAAGCATCCCCCCGCATCATTCACCATCCCAACACATTTCCATCCTCACTAGGATTTCTTCAGGGTATTAGGAGGATGTTGGCCTTTTTTAGATCTTCTCACAACGAGCACAGTCGACAAGCAAAAAGCACTTCAAGGAAAGACAAAAAAAAAGGTTAGAGGACATTAAAATGTGCACACTTAAAGGGATAACAATTATTCTGTCGAGAGCTAATGAGCAGCAGAATACTGTTATATTAAGGAAAGTGAGAATCCACATTGTGAATTCTGTGGACATTTTGGGAAGAAAGACCCTGAGTGGACTCAATTATTAAAATAAAGTAAACATGTTGACAGGAGAAATGAAACTGTGTTTTGACTGCTGCTGTCAGGGGAGGTTCCCCTGTCTAAAGTTTACACAGTAAATGATTGTGCCTCAGTGATTCTGCCCTGGATGTGTGTGTGTGTGTGTGTGTGTCTGAATGTGTTTGAATTTGTGCACTCTGCGATCAACTTCTGCTAAATACTAATTACTGAATACTTAGTACGGATGCCCTTTCTATTGGGTCCCTTTAGTATAAACATTCATTATGGCCCTTTTTCTCCTTTGTAGCTCCATCATCATTATTCCACTGCATCCCCCCGAGGAGCGAGACAGAGCTGAGGCCGGGGCCGGGGCCGGACCAGGCTGGGGGAGACAACACTGTAGAACCAGAGCGCCAGGACCTGGGAATGCACACAAGTGATATTTGTGCGTGGAGATCAAAAAGCGTTTACCTTTAGATGTTTCCCTGATATGAATATTCAACGTCCTTATTGAAATCTAATTTGGGTCTCCTTGTCTCAGGGGTCTTTTCATCAGTGCCTGTTGCCTGAGGCCACTGCTGATTGACAGCCAAACTTTAGAAAAGAGCAAGCAGGAAAAAAGGGGAGATCTGGTGGTGTTGGAGATGTGAGCATTGTGGAGCCAGGGAGAGCTGGAACAGATGAGTGGAGGGGCACTGAGAGGGGTGGGGGGCCCAACGGGGGGGTGGGGTATTTAACCTCCTTGTGTGCATGCACAAACAGAATGCTGCAGATTATTAGGGCCAGGAGCGTATACACGACAGCAGAATAAAAAAAGAATCATTTCAGGTTCTCCCCTGTTGAAAAGTCCTGCCGCTAACCTTGATCTGAACATGCACTTAGTATTTTAGTAATATTATGTTTTTTTTACGTCAAGCTGTCCTCTTGGTCTTCAGGACACTCTGGACATTTTGGACAATTATTTTACACTTTTAAAGACTGTGTGATGAATTGATTGATTAACAAAATTATCAACGGATCACATTGATAAATGTTCATCAGCTGCACCCTGAACATTGTTTACCACTACAGAGCAGTTTATTTCATTTCTTTCAGGAACAAACAATTTTGCTTTTGGTTCCTGAACGAATTTTTCACCTGATTTAATTTCATTCATTGTCATTATGTTCATGTGTAATACATTTTAAAACATAATTCACAGTCGATCAACCAGTTAGTCAGATTGTTATGAGTTGATAAATCATTAGTCTTAAATTAAGTCTAAATGCTGAATGTTCTGTGGCTGCAGCTCCTCAGCTTTGAGGACGTGTTACTTTTACTCGTGTTATGTGAAATAATAACTTCTGGTTGTTTCTGGTCAGACAAAAAAGAATTGGAATGTTAACACCTTCTGATATTTTATAAACCAAGCCTCTAACCAAACCAGAAATTAATGACAACATTGAGAAATAACAATAGTTTCTATGATAATTAGTCGCAGCTTAATAGATTGTAACAGAATAAACTATTCCTTGAGATTTGCCATTTTACTCAGTGAGAGTATTTCCTCTTTTCTCTTCTCTTCTTAAAACAGAGCATCTGACGCTCCCTGCCAAAGGCATGACACCATATTGTTTTCTATAATTACATTTCTTAACATTTGCTCAGTTATTAATCTACGTTTATGACTAAGTTGGTCTGAGACAATGCAGTGTATAATTGTGTCTTTTAGTTTTTTTTGGCTTACATATAAAACAAAATTAGAGGCTGAAAAAAACTTGGCTCCTGGTGTGTTTCTGAAAAGAGAAAAGAGACACCGTAAAGAAGGATTCAAACCACGATAGATTCAGTTTGCTCCACTAAACAACTGTCAGTGCTGGATATTACTTTGTTCTGTAGACTTGCGTTTGCTGGAAGATGAATAACAAATGGCGAGTGCATGTACACACACACACACACACACACACACACACACACAGACAGACACATACAAACTAACACTGTCCTCATCTGGCCAGTGGGTTAAGCATGGTTTAATGTTATTATTGCGCAGGTGTGGGTCTTGTCCCTCAGGGTTCCATTAAAATGATGCCCCTCTCAATGGCGGCTCCACTCGCTCTTTAGATTTAACACAGGCCATATGTCTAGCAGGAGGCAAACAGCTGATGGGGTTTAATTGACGGAAATCAACATATTTGGTAGTGTGTGTGCATGTGTGTGTGTCAGTGATGTGCTAATGGTGGATGTGCTCTGGCATCAGGGGACATCTTTAAAGGGTCAATTGTGAATCAGAACAGAGTTTGGAAAGAAAGGAGAGATAAAAAAGAAGGAGGGCAGTGGAGACACGGAGGAAGAGAGAGGAACAAAATGGGGACAGAGAAAAACTGTCACCGACTCAAAGCACAGTTTAGCAATGCAGGACACTTTGGATTCATTTTGGGACTCGTGTTCTTGTCCATTCCAGCTGTGCATAGAGAGCTAACTTCATGTTGCATCAAGCTTCACAGAGACGCCACACCTGACAAATCATGTAAAAGCATTTCTGACACTGAGCTGATTCAGGCTCAGGAGGGGACCCCAACAAAACGAGAGCGTACCCACCGCCGGGCCCCTCAAACACAACCCGGGCAAGGCTCTGCAATAATTCATAATGACCACTTTATTCTCATTTAACAGAAATATTTCTTGGATACATTTGGAAAAATAGAAGAATGGTGAAAAGTAGTTCTTTGTCATGAGGGATAACCCAACATTAGGCTAACAGGCGCAACGCAATTAGCACATAAAACCTGTCAATGGCCCTCAATATCACGGCCCTCTAAGGAGTGGCAGACTTATAAAGCCTCCTGATCTATTACTACAAAGTGATTAATCCTCCCCACACAATGACCAGTCTTAAACTGGGCCTCTATATTATTAGGTAGCCCTGTATGGCACTTCAGCCCTGCACTAATTAGCATTCAGATCAGGGACCGCAGAGACAGCCCCTCCACCACAGAGGAAGGACACAGGATGAGATGGCGACACAGTGAAATGTCATTAACTTGATGTTAATTACTAATTAATGGGGCTATTTCATTTACATGTATCCCTGGCTCTCTGATGGAGCCTGCCTTTACTGGGTTACTCTTACTAGCCGACAAGTTGGGGGAGGGTTTATCTCCCCCCTCTCCCCTCACAGCGTTTCATCTCTGCTAATTAAATAGTGGGCCACTCATCATGATTATGTCTGCTTTTACAACACCATTTTGTGTCAGCGAGAGCACTCCAATAAGCAAGTGACCACTTCTTTAACACCATAGCTGTTTTTGTATGAACTGGGCATTAAAAGCCAAATTCGGTGCCAACTCCACTCCACTCCACTGACTTCTATCTGACTTGTTACTTTCACTCACTTGTGACCCCCTCCTCCCTCCCTTTCTCTTCATCGCCACGCGGCAGCCACAAGCCGCCCGTCTCCATGGCAACCTGAGCCGTTCGGTCCCATGAGGAGGAGTGGGTTGGGTTGACAAGCGTCTGGCCATTCGCACGTGGGCAGTGCCAGCTAGCCAACATGGCACACAGCATCCTGCCATATGGTGCCACCATATACGTCCCGCTGGCTCGGACCTGGAGTCTGGGCCTGTAGTGAGCGCAGAGTGTGAACCCGCAGCAGAACCTGTTCCACAGCTGATCCACGTGCAGCACTGGCAACTCATGAGCAGATAAAATGTTCATTTAATGGTTTAATGAGGAACCTTTTTTCATTCTTGACCTGTGAACGTGCATAATAAGACTTTTGTTCGGCGATAATAGTTGCTGTAAATCTGAGGTAACCTTAATGAAAAGTCTCAAAGCGATCACAAGAGATGGCCTCTACTCTGCAGACAGAAAATGTTTGTACAGTGTCATGAGGACGTGCTCCACTCATCATTAATACCATACTGCCTCTCTGTGGCCCTACAGAGAAAATACATGCACATGTTGCAGCATACTGAAGCCACGCATTAATGCTGACAAAATATATTTTTATTCAAAGTTAATATATGCTTTTAAATACAACATTTCTTAAAAGCATTGGAATACTGTGTATTCATGACTTTTTATCATATATATATTAGACATTATTAAAAATCTTTTGTCAGAAAGGCTTTCAGGAACCTACAGTGAGATATGTTGGTGAACAGAACTTCAGCTATTTGTCATGTAAATCTTTACGTTCTGCAGAACAACATCAACACAGTAACAGGAAAAAAGAAGCCAAGCTGTGAAGGCAGCTGGAAAGTAATGCACATCTGCTTAACTTTTCATGAATGTGCAGCATTAAAAAAAGGCTGATATAATATGTTCAAGGCTCATTCATTTGTGCAGCAGTTTTATATTAATATACTTAATTGTGTAACTGAAAGGTCAAGGCATTCTTTCACGTTAAAACATGGTGTGTGCACAGATTCAAAATGACATCAACATGAAATTCCAGATTAGTTATCAACTATGCTCGATAGTTGATTTCTTATTCACATATTTGTGTAACCACTGAGCATAATGGGCATTTCCGAAATTAGAATTGTAAAGACAACATGTTCAACCACAAGATACACTTAGTGTGTGTAGAAAATATCCAAGGAAACACAATGTGCCTGTGTATGTAAATAACAATGACAAGCGACACATAAGCTACACAACTCCTGTGAAAAAAATAGCAACATGCAATGATCACTGACACTGTGTGACCACAGTTCTCTCATTGCTTAAACAAACAATACAAAATGCATAGATTTAAAAAGATACACACGTCAAGTAAGCATCTAAACTGGATGTGAAATCTGCTAAGTGTAAACCACAAATTGCAAAACTGTGTCGTAAAGGCTGAATGAACAATCATTTCTAGTTTTGAACTGCTACATACTTTGCAGTAACGACATGATAACCAACAGTCATCGTTGGTGCTTTCCCCTGCGATATTCATCATATCGGTGTGTAACCATGGAGACAATAGTATTTAAAACTGGCATAAGGAGATAGAGTGTGAAAACTTTGATTTGTCTAAAACGCAATAACGAGTGGATGAGATCCCTCCTCTCCCAAGTACTGACATCACTTCCTGTCTAGAGTTACAATGATGTAAAGTGCGATAATAACTTTTCCGTCAATTTTATTTAACGCAAAAAATCTTGATATGATTCTATAGACAGGTTTATTTCCATCAATGCTGTCTCCTTAGATGGGAAAGTGCAGGTCAGAAAAAGTGAAGATACTAAAAATATCTATTGAGTTTTCCAGATGCCATCAGACTTATAACTTACTTTTTTCCATCATGTTCCCTAAAATATTTTTTTTTCTCTTTTCTATCTGAATATATATTTTTTTCCAAAAAATTAAATCAACAAAAACAGTTGTAAAGCCATATAAATTAAGTACACGAAATAATTAAGTGAGGTATTTCTATTCCATGCATCCACATAGAAAGAAAATAAAAATAATAGTTAACCTTTGGTCTTGTTGCCACAAAGCTTTCCGTGACCCCCTCTGCGCCGTAATGATAAAGATGAGCCTGCAACCATGGAGATGCGGTAGACAAATGGTACAGGACATTAGAGTGCCTGCAGCGTAATTAGTGGCTGGGTAATGAGGTGTCACTCAGACAGTTCTCGTGGAGATGGGTTGAGTGGGGATCGACTAATAAAAGACTTCAGATACGGGAGGCTGGGCTCGCCCTGCGTCTAGCACAGCCTCTCCCTGCAGGGCAAGAACACACCACCTTGGTCCGTCACAGCTGTCTCACACATCCATCAGTCGAAAGGCTCCTCCCACACAGAAGACTGAGCTGCTGCTTTCCAACAACAGTCTCAAGTCACACATTCTGGAACAGGTGGAAACAGTAGGCTAGCAACCGTGTAACTACCCTCCCCCACACAAGGCGGGATGGAGGTAGCGTCGACTTTTTTCACCCCCTCTCCACATCATCCCTGAACTGTCAGAGCAGCTACTAACACTGCTGCGTCTTACTCTTTGCTCCATGTGATTTTTCATTGTGCAGGCTCTGCTGTGTGCTTTTCAGTAACTGTTGCAGTGCTCCTTTAACCAAACTATCAGTTTTCCAGGTGTAGTATGCAGGCTCTCTCCATGCGCCACTTGCCATCCATTGGCTAGTTCTCCAATGTGAATCGTGTCCTAGCTGCTGGTCGCCCAAGGTCACACTCTCCCTTGAGGAATAGCACTCCGGACGCTCTGATGACTAACGATCTAGATGTGGATGTTGTGGTGGCGCACCTTAGTACAGTCAATGTCCACCCGGCGGGCCTCGGCAAAAGCCAGGAAGGTGCAGAGGCCCAGCACGTTGACTGTAGTGATGAGGGCAAATACAGATGCCCACGAGCCTGAGGCCTCGATGAGATACCCCGAGAAATACACCAGTAGGACTCCTGATAAGAAACACACACACACAGTCGCGATTAATATCACATTATCACAAAGGCGGCACATATAAGCTACCATGTGGTAGTTCACTTTAGTTTTCCACAAGTGTCACAGTCCGCTCCACGTCCCTCACAGGACCACACCTGTCAGCCTCCCTTCCCTCCATTATTCATCTGACACAAACTCAATCACACTCCCTTGATGAAATATGCATCGCACATGAGCCACTGTGACTGATGAGAGACACGTCAGCTCAAAGTTTGAATTTAGGGACGTCAATGAATAATTTCACATTATAGATAGTTAAAGGCAGAGAAAATGCAATGGTTTAGCAGCTGCGGCTTAAATATGTATCACAGATATTTGTCTCACCTGAGAAAGCACCGCATGTATTCATAACACCTGGAAGAGAAATGCAGATACACACATGTTAAATTTAAAACTTCATCAAAATGATCAGTCAGGTCAGTACAATTAATGAAAATCTAATAAAAACTTTAAAACTTACCAAATAATGCTCCAGCACAAGATGGAGCAAGATCTTGAACATTTACAGAAACCCCACTGTAGACATGAAGAAACAAATAATTATTATACTATCTCATAAGGTGCTAAACTATCAACTGTACTGACATTGTTAGACAAATTGCACTTAAAAGTCTGGAACCTGAGTTCCAGTTGTTGGAGATATATACAAAATATTGCAGTGTTTTATTTTTTCACATATGAAAAATGTATCTTATTTTTGTACAAATCATGTGACTAATAAATATTTACTACAAAAAACACCATATAAGAATAACACAACAAACCATACAGTCCTGCAGTGTCATAAGGTTTTATATGCACTTCCTCATACTTGTACATACTTTCTGCCAGAGTAATACCTCACACAAGTGGTTACACGCCCTTTCCTAGTCTGTACTTATACACTTGGCATAAAGTCAAGGACAAATACTCAGTACAGGACATTGAAATTATACATATAATATTAATATAAATATTTCAAGAATACTAAGAGGATTTTGGAAATTAGCCATATTGAGAATTAACATACAAATCAATGACCTTTTTAAGCAGGCAAAGACCCTAAGAATAAAAAAGATAATTCTCTCTTAAATGGTTGACACAGCCGGCACAAAACAAAGACAAATCAGTGACTAACAGGCACTGATTGGGCTAAACAGAAATCAACAAATCATAAAACTGCCAAACTGACCCTCGGGGACCACCACATTTAGATCTAAAAAGAGGTTGTTGTTTCGGGGGCAGAGACGAAGGAGTGTGAGGACATTGTGGCTGCCAGTACCTGTGACTGAAGGTGGTGAGGCCCATCATGGCAGACACAAATGCTACAGCCCAAGGGAAGGTGGTGTTGCCACATAGAAGGAGGGTAAACACACTGGACACACCCATGGAGAAAAACTAACAGACGGATGAATGCACACAAAAACCACACACATCAAAATCAAACAGGTTTCCTTGTATGAAAGAGGAGAGAGATTATCCACACAATGAGAATAAAAAGTCCACACACACACACACCCAAAATAATAATGTCAAATATTGTACCTGCATCAGCTTCCTCACTGAGGCCGTATCGAAGCCTGAGGGGAACAAAAGAGAGGGACAGGGAATTATTCAGCTTCCTTATCAATAACGAAATACATTTAACCTTGTGTGTGATATCAGCTCCTCTACCTTGACTGATGAGGTGGTCGGACAGGCAGCCACTCAGGAGGGATGAGGGGATGGCCACTAACCAGGGAATGACATTGAACACCCAACCCTGCGGGGACAACACATTTTCTGGGCATGAATGAACTTGAAGAGAAACAGTAGGGAACACTGAGTGTTGGCTGTTATTGTTAGGTCATAGTGTGCTGCAGACAGGCCTGGTTGTGTTTGACTCTACGGACGGTAAAGTGGGTCAGGAAGTCATGTGGTCAGTCGATCTACCACATTGGTTAAGACTGAAATATCTCAGTATGTGGTGTCATCATGACTGTCATGCTTTTCCTGTGGCCCACTCATCTGGCTGACATTTTAGTTTTTCTGTGAAATGTCCACTCGATGGAATTTCAGATATCAGATTTCCTCCAGTGCCCCAGAAGGTCAAAGTTTTTATTTATAGAGTGAAAAATTCTGGTGGTTTGTTCACAACTTTGATCGTGTCCAGAAACACCTGTAAAAACTTCCCATCAACCTTAGCGGCACTGTGTGTTTAGTGCTAAGATGGATGTGTACAGATGGATGACATGACTGCTCACCAAAAGTGAAGCCAAAGCATCTCTATGCCCACCTGGTGGCTGGCTGCGGTATAGGTTGTAAATCCTGCCTCCTCAATGTTAGTTAGTTTGTACCTGGGACTTTTTGGCTTAATTTCTGGATAGTGGGAGGAAGTGGAGACCTGTCGTCCATCTTTACGTACAAGTGGAGAACCAGCAAATGCTATAGCTGCTTGACCTCAGCATGTTAGCTGTTGACTGAGTGTAACTTCATACAGGACAACTGTAGCCTATTTGACATAGGTGTAGTCCTTTATTTATTTAAGAAGACAGATGGTCGATACCATCACTGAGCCACAACAATGACGGTTCTTAGTCTTCTTAAATCAAGGCGTAACCGCTCTTTATTTCATTCTGTCATTGCGGCGTCAAACATTCAAAGAGGGCGTCTTTACCTTGGCTTCTGGGAAAGTGTCTCTGAAGAAAGTTGGCAGCCACGACAAAAGAGTGAAGAAGGTGCTGGCGGTGCAAAGGTGTGTAACGATCACAGCACTGTTCAGCAAACGACAAGAGACAAACTGTCAAAGAAAGTGCATTGCAGCCACATTTGCGTGTACCAAAGCTTATCTGTTCACAAAGTCCAATTTGTTTGAACACTATCTGTTTGTTTGTCATCGTTTTCCTGTCTATAATGTTATAAAGGTAAGAACTATGTGGAGGAAGCATCCCTGAGCCATAAAAAACATTTTCTAATCTGTTTATGAAGGTGGGTCGGATAAAACTAAATAGAACAGAAGTTCTTTGTGTCGCTGAAAATGGAGCATATCAGTTGCATTGACGTGTGGAAATATCTTGGTCATGGGGAGGAACTCAACTCCAGAGACATTGACAGACAGCTGAGGCAGCAGCAGATGTAGATATAAAAACTGGATCTGTGTCCACAGAAACACACATGACAGGGCTATGATCTGACAAAACTGGGACATGTTAGAATACAATTCTACAATCCTCCACTCACAAACTATTCTTTCTAAACCAGCCTGTAACTCATATTTCCATGGTTGCAAAACACAATGATTAAAGTGGAACTTCAGGTTTTGGATGTTGCTGTAGCCACATCATTACAACTGCCTGACTCAAGCTCTGTGAGACAAACGTTGCTCAATCATCTAAATTCTAGATAAACAAAAAGCAACACATGCGCACTTTGTCGTTATCTCACCAGACTGCAGGTTGTTTGAGGAGCCGCAACCAGTGTCTCTTTGTCAGTTTGGCCTGGTGCCCACCACTTCCCAGGGATTCGAGGGTGATGATAGGTCCTGTGAAAAACACATGAGGAGACTGACTCTAATTATGCAAATTGAGCAGCCACATGATATGGACATGCAAACGGTTTAAAGCCTCGCTTGCCTTCTCCTTTGAGTAGATATTTCCACATGAAGTAGGCCCACAGCACTGAGAGGAGGCCAGACACATAGAAAACACTCTCCCAGCCGTACAGGTCCAACATGAGGGAGCCGGCCCCTCCGATCACGAGGGTGCTGGTGGAGAAAAATGGGTCATAACAAGACAGGACAAGTCAGGCAAACACACCCTCGTAATAAGATGTTTCAAGATAGTAACATTCTGACTTATGCACATGCATGTCATAATCATGATACAAATAGAAAACTTACAAACATGTATTAGAAGGGATTGTGACATCACAATAGACACAACTGTAAAATCAACTCTATTCACATCACAACTGGGATTTTTTTGCAAGAAACACTTTTCCCTTTCCCACTGTTCCCGATATATTGCATAACACTAGACTCACCCCAGATATGAGCCACTACCCACGGTGCTCATGAGGAAGCCTCTTTCACTTTCCACCACCTTCTGAGAGCACAGACTCGCAAGGGATGGGTAATGAACTCCTAAGATCAAGTAAGAAAACAACATCAGCCAGAGTTTGGAAAAAGTCCCCAAAATAATTAAAGGGGACGATGAAAAGACAGATTTTTACAACCTGGTTCCACAAAACTAATAATAGAAATGATAGATTTTGGACGTATAACATGGTGAATGATTAAGCAGGTGATTTAGTGTTTGTCATCAATGGGAGCAGCTGATTTTTTATTGTGCAACAAAAGCTTGATGCCAAACATTTTAAGAGCTCGCCTATGAACAATGTTGATTTAAGTTCTCAAGACACATAAACAAATGAGAAATAAAGAGGGTGAACTCACTAATGTTGTAGTTCATAATGGTCACCAACAGAGGTCTAAACATTGTATTGTAAAGCAATACATGTGATGGTCATCGTCTTCCTCTTTATATACAATGCAAATTAAAAAAGTTTTAGTTTTTATTAAAGCGCACAAATAATCATGCAATAAGGCCTGTGACGAACACTAGTCTGCCAAATGTGAGTTATTAAAAAGATTATAAAATGACTTTATGACTGTTTCTCATTTTTCTTTGCAATGGATACGTACAAATTACATCAGTTTTAGTTCAAGAAATTCATTTTATTAACATGCTTTCAGACATGCACTGAACTCCGCAGATACGCCGTATCTTCTCTGCAGGGGATGCATGTGTCAACGCATATGTCCGAGTGAGAGGCTCTGCAGTTTCTGTCGACTTTCCCTATCTGGCCTCCAGGAATAAAGTCCGATGGAGTTTCTAACACGCAACAGATGCAAAAATAAAAAAACAAACTAAAAAGAAAAAAAGGTGTCATGAACAGAGAAGACACCGACAAAGATGTCGAGAGAGTTTGTGGTGATGAGAGCTGACGACGGTGTCTGTGTGTTGTCAAGAAAGTCGCGTGATCTCCGCAGTGGAGTTAATACGTCACTTCCTGCCTCTGCCTGCTGTGCCAGGCTGCTCCACCTCTCGCCTGAATAATTCATAGTTGTTGCTTTTGTGAACATGTCTGGGGACAGAACCTCCAGCTGCATTGTGCATGTGTGAAAGGCAAACTGCGGTAAATTGCGTAGCCAATTCTCCAGATTTTTCCTCCAGGTCACGTCTGAAAACCTCTTTAAAGAAACAAATCCAACAACATTCTGGATAGTGGATGACTCACAGCAACAAGTTCTGCTTGTTTACTATGTTGATTTGATGAAAAGCGAGATATTTGAAACCACGTCTGGCGGTTACTGTAATGAGCTGGTTCAACTTGCTATCAAGATGGATGGATGGATAGATGGATAGATGGATAGATGGATAGATGGATAGATGGATAGATAGATAGATAGATACTTTATTGATCCTGGGGGAAATTTAGGAGCCACACACTAAAGCCATTAAGACCCATGGAAGTATTGAAGCAGACTCTTGAAAGTCTCATCATTCCAGACCTTAAAATAAATGCAGATCAATCTATTACAGGTCTGCAAAGAGCAATTATGTCTCGCCACTGACGTAATCTCAGTTTGTGATTCATCCAGCACCTCTGACCTTGCAACAGGCCCATGAGAAAGCGAGCCAGTGTCATGGAGAAGATCGGCTGGGAGCAGAACTGAGCCAGGATGGGTGTGAAGGCTGTCATCGACCCCCAGGCTGCTGCAGACAGCAGGAGGACCTTCTCACCTCCCACTCTGTAAACAAAGAAGACAGCCTGTGTTAGTTTTACCCCCTGACTGCTCAGAGAGAGGCTTACCTCACTCACAGGTTTTGAGCAGTGGCAGAACTGTGATATCTAGGATGACGCAGTGAATATGGATAAGCAGCATATCTGTTTATGATGATTAAAACATGTATTGACTACATTATCTGTCCCAAGTTAGCAAACACAACTGGGCCCTTTGTGTCACTATCAGTTATGTTCCTGTGCAAAAGGTGTTTGATGAGCAGGAGGTTAAAATGAACACCAGTTTCAATGTCAAAGGTCAATATGGGGTCAGATCACTCTTATGTCACAACATGACCAAGTTTCCTACCTGTCACTGACGTAGCCTCCGAGCACTTGGGTAAAGCAGTAGCCCCAGAAGAAGCTGCCCAGCACCATACCGGACTCCCTCTTAGTCCAGTGGAACTGTTCCGCCATGCTGACGGAACAGATGGGCATCGCCACGCGGGCGCAGTAGAGGAGGCACGTCCCGAGCAGCAGCACCACTGTCCATACCCTCGCCACCGGCCTGCACAGGAGGAGAATGGATCAAGTTATTTGAGTTTGGTTGAGCAGATTGAGCCAGACTAATCCCAGCACTGTTGCCTCATAGCAAGACGTTTCCTGGTTTGAATCCCAGCTTGGCCAGGGTCTTACTGTGTGGAGTTTATGTGGGTTTTCTCAAGGTACTCCGCCTTCTTCCCACAGTCCAAAGGCATGGGGATAGGAGTTATGTTAACTGGAGGTTCTTAGTTATCCATAGGTGTCAATGTTAGTGTGAATGGTTGCTTGTCCGTGCATGCTGGCCCTGAGATACACTGGTGACTTGTCCAGGGTGTAGCCATAGCCCACCTCTCACTCAATATCAACTGGGATAATCTCCAGCTCCCCTGTGAAACTCAAAGTATAAGCTGTACAGATAATGGATGGATGGAGTTTGGTTGAACAAAGGCAACATCTGGAGACAAAACTAGTTCAGAGCTTATATAACTTAAGGAGGGAACTTTAAGACAAACAAAATGCCTTCTAACACTCAACGCATGGGACAGTTTCAGAACTACAGGGAGTATCTACAATGTGCCCACACGGCAATTCCTTTAACAATATGATGTCACAACAATATAATAATCAAATTACACTGAAAACTATTTCAGGATAGTACTGCCACATATTTTTCACGAATTGTATATAACTTGGATCCCCATCTTTATATGGCACATTTTTGAAATTACAACCTTGTGTGTATTTGTAGCATTATTTCTGCTTTTTTGTATCTAACATTTCTATTACTGATTTTTATTCTTACTATATTTCCCCTCTGCTACTTTCTTGTGCTGCTGTGTCATTGGTGGAATAGGTGAAGGTACATCTAATCTTGTTTAATCTTAACAAGGTTTGTTCTATTGTAATTCCTTTATAACAAACAGAGTATGAATCATTTCCTTAATTTTAAACTATTTGACCCTGCGACTTGAATCTTAAGATCATTGGACCTTGAATGAAACACCATTGATGACACACTCTGTGTTTGTGCTGCAGGAGTTTAAGAATTACAAGGAAACAGAGTTATTTATCAAGATTGTTGCTGAAAACTGGATACACACGACAAGCAGGCATCAGTAGATATGATCAGTGTTTAGAATAACATTACCTCGGCCAGTTGGTGTTGTGTTCAGGCCACTTCTTGTGACCCCCGGGGACTCCGCTCTTGTCGGGCGGACTGTTTTCCTTGTGACAGACCAAATCTGGACTATAGTTCTTGCCATATTTTTGAATAACTGCCATTCAACGCGAGGTACACGTCTCCCCTCTCTTGGTCGCTGTCTTACTTTCAGTCTCTTTACGCGCAGTGAGCCAACGCAGGCGCTTGGACCAGGACGCAGGAGTCTCCGCGCAATCTTATACCTGATCTCCACCGTTTGAATCCATAACCTGCGAGACGGGAAGGGAAGGAATTCGAGCGACGGTGCCGGAGCTGGGCTGCTGGAGGAGGCAGGCTGTTTTCCTGATGCCCGAGGAGGAGTAATCCACGTGTCAGTTTTTCTCCCCCAGCCTCCTCCTCCTCCTCCAGCTCAGGCCCGCAGTTCTTCTTCTCATCGGTAGGGTTCATCAGGAAGTGATTTCAGCCTGCTGTAAACCTTAGTCAGCCGCCTGCAGCCATTACTGTGTCACCAGAGACGCATCTGGCTGCGGCCCCCATGACGGTGCAGTTTATATTTTTATATATAGAGTATATATATACAGAGAGAGAGAGGGGTGATGAAGATGAGTTCTCCTGTAGGTCCCCACCGAGGAAGACGGTGATGGAGCTCGGGCTGAAGGAGCCGAACTGTGCGCAGAGGCTGTTTTAACTGTGCGTTCTTCCCCGGCTGTTTGCAAACATGTGTTATGTAATGATCTGCATTCTGTTAGCATCTGTCCTGCCACAGTGTGTGCATGTGTTGGAGTGACGATGGTACACCCACCGAGGAGGAGGGACAACCTTACAATCCAGAGGAGAAGACTTTAAAATCAAGGAGAGAAAACTTTAAAATCAGGATTAGGGAGCAATTTTCATTTAGGAGGAGGGATCACTTTAAAATGAAGAGGAGGGATCACCAGGGAGGTAGATGGGAGCAAGGGTCAGAACTGGAACATCAGAGGAGCTGTGAGCCCCTGCACTTGTCAACCTTAATAAAGGGTCTTTTTCCATAGTGTTATCACTTTTTCATAAATACATGAATGCCACAGATTCCCTGGTAGCACTGGCTGCCATATGAAGGCCTGGTCACGTTGTTTTGTTTATCCTGGTAGTAGTTGATCATTTAACTGACCTCAATGAGGGGTGAGGGCTGGCGATACATCAGTATTAGTCTTTAATAGCATTATATCAAAAGTGTTTATACATGTATCTTCATAGCTGTATATATATAGCTATTCCTGTCATTGGGTTTTTGATGCATTATCATATAAATAGCAGTGTAATCGTGTAGCTGATCAAATTGCAGAGGTTACTGAGTATTTCAATCATTAACAAGGCATTGATCGTGGTTTTTGGGAGTCATGATCTGTATAGAGTCCAGACATAGAAGTACTTCAAATCTGTACATAGGTGCAGGACCCAAGTAAACGAATGTACTTAAAATTTGCAGAAAACACACCAGATCAGAGAAACACCACGTTCTTCATGCCCTGTCCAGTTTAAAAATTCACTTTTATTGCAAAATAATATACCAGCAAAAAAAAAAAAAAAGCACATCAAATTTTGCAAAAAAGCTACTTATTCCATACATGTAAATAATGCATCTGTAAAAGTATCTCCATGTCTGTGGACATAGATTTATCACCATTCACATTTTTTAATATCGTCTGTAATATTTTACAACAATATGAAACTGAGGTTGCCTTGAAGCTCACACAGTCACAGAACTCTGTTAAGTTTATAGCTTCCCAGGAATCTTGCCTTGTCCTACTTGGTAACTGCTACAATGATGTACAGCTTGATGTTTTCTTTGTTCTTGTCTGCATCCTTTTATAATGTTTTACGCAATAATGAAATACGAATCTAGGAATTTCCTTTTCAATGTCACAGTAGCTTGAAACATCCAAAGTATCTTGCTTTGGCTGATTCTGTAACAGAAGAGCACAAGCTGACAGACAAGTCGCTGAAATGTGTATGGTTTTTGTAAGGAAAACGTTTATTTGAGGCAGTGCACACTGAGCCACCCACTTTCCCCTGATCATCAACCCGTCTTCTAAGTGGTCACACACAGAACGTGACAGCCTAATTTAGGCTTTATTCACACCCTCCTATGCAAACAACTTTCCCTGCCGACAGACAGAAAAACCTAGTGTAACTGAAATAAACAAATTGTATTGAAACAAATATGTAAATACCAAGTAAAATAATGGTATGTGTGTTATTTTAGTGTGAGAGTTCCTCTTAAAATGCCATTAATCCAGTTTGCACATTCTACCTTACTTAAGTATCAAAAAAGCAACCCTTACAAAAAGAAAAGGTTGTACTCTACGAGTCAGTTTGTCGGGGTATAAATAGATAAAGGAAATGTGTCCGTTTTATCATGCTGTGGTATGTTTTCTCTGTGGGTCCTTATTTTGGGTCTTCGATTGTTCCCTTGCTGAGGTCTGTCATTTTGGGATACTTCACTTTCTTTTGGTCAAGTTCGTTTTGAGCCCACAGCAGTAGTTTCAGGAGCTTGGCCAGCTTGGGTGTTGACTCTCTGTTTTCATAGTCGAGTACACACTGATTTACTTCACTCCACACCTGAAAGACAAACGCACATACATGTAATTTCTTCGAATACGTTCTCTACTGAACAGTGGATCGTATACAATGTGTTGCACTTTCATTTGGGTACAAATGAGAGGGAGCACCGAATGAAACATTCGGATCTTCAGCCCTTGGTATGGGACATAAAGATTCTACAGTTCTACATTTGATAAATGATCCTATAATTGTTTCTATTTAAGAGAAGATGATTAAATAAAATATCAAAATATCAATTTCACAAGTTTCATTTTGGATAAAATCATTATTATATTAATCGATAAAAAAATAATTGAGAGGTGCAGCCCTAATAACAAGGCGGTATTGTCTTCATGCTGCAGAAAAAGGCCACAGCCAGTAACTAAAGATTAACAACAAGTATTTGGCTCTTCACCCAGCACATAAACAGGGTCACTTTGAGCTGATGTGAGAGGAAGGTTAACAACATGTTTGACCTCACCTTTTGTCTTTGCATCATATTCAGCAGATCTCCAAAAGGGGACTCCTCCGGGTTGTCGAATGCCAGCAGGGCCAGTGTCCTCTCCATCTCGGTCAGACACTCTCGGCTCTCCTCCCCCTGCTCTGCTAACTGAGCCTGGGCAAACTCGAGAGCAGCTTCGGTCTCCCTCAGACGAATCAGCTCGATCAGATGCTGCTGCTGCAAACGCATAAAAAAAACACGACTGCAACGGTGAGTGAAAATAACAGACTGAGCGACACATGCAGGACAAATCACAGTTCCTAATGTACAGAGCTGAGTTGTCTGCACTGCATTTGATTTTTACCTGTAGGTGAAAGTAGAGGTAACGGTTAGTATCCAGCAGCTCCGGGTGCAGACTGTTGATCAGCGCGATGGCATCCTGGATCTGTCCCTTCAGGATCATCTCTCGGATTTTAATCCGTTCATCAAGAGAATCCAGATCGACACTGGGCTCGATCCCAGACTCCATCCGGAATTTCTCTGCCGCCTCTTTGAAGCCCTCTGTGGAACAGAAACCGTGGATTAAAAGAGAATCCTGCATATTCCACATTCAACCACCACACACGACTGATGTTTATATGTTGAATAATGCCCCTCCACCTGTCACCAGGTAGTTCATGATGAGCCTGTTCATATCGGCTCTCTGGATGTGGACATTGTTGAGTTTATCCATCCACTCGTCCCTCGTTATATCGTCCGGCTTCTCTGCATAACTCATTCTGATCCTGGAGCAGAAGAGAGTAGCTTCGCTGTCATGTCACAGATCAACATTTTAAACTCACGAACAAGAACAATCGTACAGCGTCACAACAGTGTTAGTGATTTGTTCTTCGGTTTGACAGCAGACTCGGCACCGGAAATCAAAGTCACAACGTATGAGGCCTTCGATTAAAAACACAACATTGAAGCCTGATTTGCGTCAACCGGATAAAAACAAAGACAACTTCCACCGTAACGATGATGTAAATCGAACACACGCACCCGGAACAAGCGCTCTTCTGTTTTATTCTCTTTCACTGTGTTGAATCTAAAACCCCACACGAGCAGAAACGTCACTTAGTTCACGATACCTGGAGATTTTGTCGCTACTTCCCAGCAGTAGCTAGCCAGCTAGCGGAGGTTAGCCTCTTCTTCTTCTTCTACTACTTCTTGTTGTGGTTCTTCCTCTTCCGCCTGTCTACTTCCGGTGTCACGTCGAATTCTGTTCCCAGTTCTCCCCAACACGTGTCCGTGTGATAGCACCTCCCCCCTCGGTGGTGAATGTGGAGATCGCAGATGGTACCGTCTATGTGCTGGGTTCAGGTGGCGGTTGGAGACACATCATCTTCAAAGGGAAACAAACTTCACCACGACACCGGTTACGTTCAACCACACTTCGCACATCGCTACTGCCCCCTGCAGTGCATTTAAAGAATTGTGTAACTTGGATATTCGAAGTCTCAATTCTGCTTGTTTTGTTTTATTTTCAAAAGCTGCTTATGCGTTATTATTATCATTATTATTATTTCCTCAAGATGATTTACGTTTGATCGCACCACAATAAACTGGCAGGAAAAAACATTATAACTTATAATTGAATCCTTATTAAACTTATTTTGTCTGACCTCACACAGATTTATCTCTTATCTTACTCAGGGTCTGTGTTATGGACATTTACCTATTGGCATGTTCAAATTATACACAATAGAATACAGACTAGAAGAGCATCAGACCAACACAACATGTAGCTTCTCACTTACTAGAGTTTGAACCACTGTTGCATTATTAAACATCATTATTCAACTCTTTGACAGGTCCTCTCCATTCTGCAGCTGCTGGTGGGACAAGCCTATTGTGTGGATATACCACCCACCCAAGGGTGCACCGCTAGTGGGGGCAACAGTGAACCAGGATCCTATCAACTGTTTGCGGGGGGCTTTTGGAGAGGGGCAACTATGAACTATGAAACCTTTTCTGAAGTTTAAGGGAAATATAGACACCACTCACGTGTCATCATCACTGACTTCCCCTCAGCAGAGCAGTTTACCTTGAGAGACAAGGTCATGCGGAGAATGATTCTGAACCATGGTTATGATGTTAAATGCAGCTTGGACTGTCCCCATGGCAACAGTTAAAATGATTATGCTCCTTGGGGTGAGAAAAATGCAATCAAAGACTTGAATACAGGAGGACCAGTGGAGTAACACCTTCTTTCAAGGTTTGGCATGCGTCTCCGTGTCTCTGCTCGACTACACTGACCATGGCTCCCTCTGCACCCAACTTAAGGAAACATTGGAGGAACAGGGGCCAGAGATCTGTCCTAAGTTTATTTTTTGATCTTTCAGCAAAAGTGTATTTTCACCTTGTGCAATTTTTTGACTTTGTAACACTCAAGAAATGCAAATAGCCTAAAGCACCAAGTCGCCTGCGGATGAAGAGCTCCTCAGTCACATGCTCTTGAGAGCCTAGCTTTCATCAACTCACATTCCTCCCAGGCTGAAGATTAAACAGACACTACTGTTTGCAACATGTAAACCAAACATACAAAACACATATTTACACTTTTCACAGACTGTTTAACTATTGTCTGGTCATGTACAAGACTTGTGTACTTTATTCCTCTCAAT